TTAAATAAAATAATTGCGATATTTGGTTTGTTAATATCAAGTGGTTTACACTTCGGTCTAGACTACAATTCAAACTGGTCTATAAACCAGTCTACGGTTTGATTTTACTTTCAGACCGCCAAAAATCGAACCGAAACCGAACTGATTGAACTGTTAACATCCCTACTAGTAGCGCTTCAATGTCAATAACGATTTATATTTGTTACATAATAACACTGTATCACCAGAGATGATAATTTTCAGCGGTGATTAAGGATGAATTCTGCATGTGATAAAAGTCAATTCTGTGAAATTCTGATTTGGCCAAAATTATGCAAAGTCAGCCAACATTACGATTCACAAATTCTGGCCAAACTTGGTGTTAGCCAGAATTACGATTTCTGTGAAACAGAGAAAATCATCATCACATGGGCAAAAAATTATAATATATATAAGACTGATATGATGACTCATTGACTCAGTAATTTTTTTGATAAAATGGATAAAATGGATAAAGTGATGGCTGATAAAATAATATTCGAGTTAGAGTAGGAAAAAAAACTTGTCAATAGAACTGCGTTAACAGAGTGGTTTGCTAACGGGTGCCTATTCGAAGAAGACGAAGAAGTTTTAGGTAATTATAATTATTTCGCAGTTTAGATAGAACCTTTACATTGCCTTAATAAATTGGAAGTATTACTTATTTGGTACTGTAATTTTGATCTACACTTAAGATTTATTAAATCCGAAGCTCGTGAACGTGAAGCTCGTGAAAATGGTGCTAGTGTTACTCACTCAGGATCAACAGGTATTTTTCGCTTACTACTTCCACAAGCGGAACCCAAACTACCAAATTTCATAAATACAATAAACATCGTGGTAAAGGTTTTAGATCAGGCAAGGTTTCCGGTCCAGTCAAAGTATCTGAGAGAAATGATAAGAAATTTGGGCCAACTAAATCTGTTGAACCAAATCATCAGGCGAAACAGGAATGTCATCATGAGGGAATTTAATGGTCAGGAGTTGCGTTTGAATCCTCCAGTTAATGTTGGAGATGTAGTTCACAAAGAAGGATATTTATATTGCTTAATCTTACCAAATTATCATCATTTGATTTTAAGACATTTCTGAGGAAGATGGTTTAGAGCAGTGGCTTACTTTAGTGATCATTCATTATATGTCTATTTTTTAGATGTTTATTTTAATAACCATTGTACCTTTTAAAATCTCTTGTCTGTATATCTTCTTCATTATATTCTGCAATTAGTAAATGGAGATGTTGTAAAATTTGTTGAAAGAGTAATAAAAATTTACAATTGATGCTCTTTATTGCAAAATAAATGTGACTTTACTATTATCTCAATTCCACATGCATATGGTTATAAAATAAAGCCCGATATGGGCGAATAATAGATATTTTATTAATAATTTGCAATGCTCAAAGCTATATGATTATTCATTGATTTTAGTAATCACATTCCGGGTTAGTTGAGTCGTGACCTTTAATAGAATATGCGAATAAAAATTAAATATCTGAGAGAAATTAATTGTGTGTAAGATAAGGTTATTGATTATAGAAGATCAAAACTTTTGGATGCCAGACAAACAAACTCCTTAATTTTTCGTATCCTTTCTGGAATAACGATTTCAGGTTTTTTATCGTACCATACTTCAATGGAGAGAAATTCCAGTATCTTGACATATGCATCGTTTTTGCCGATCACGATTAACGATGTCTTCGAGTTTTTTGACATCCTTATACCAGCTGGTGCTATGAAACCGATGCTGTGCCCCTTGTACCTCCAATGCAATTCGATATTTTTGGAAGAAGGCATCAAGTTCTAATCCATTCAAGAAAGGAGGGTGATATTCGATCATAGGTATCTCACTAAGAATTTTCTTAGCTATCTGGATGCACCTGGTTTGAAATTTGTGATTTTTCTTAATTTCTGATTCTTTTTTAAGTTCATTGAAATACCGCTCTAGCTCTATGATTCTGGCCTTGAGTTTAGCATTTTCAGCATCATGCTTCTCATTATATTCTTCATTCAATCTTAGAGTCTCTGCATTTCTGCGTTTAAGTTCAGCTATTTCAGCATTAGACACTGAAAACTTATTTCTAAGATAAAAGATTTTGGCATTTTCAGCTTCAAGCTCAATAATCCGTTGTCTCAATAAATCTATTTCAGATTGCATTGCCTATAATTTTTTATACTCTATATGTTAGTATTCAAAATCGGCAAAATATCACCTTCAATCAAAGATCCTTTTTTCTCATAAATTCAGCTCTAAAAATGAAAAGCTATCTTGATAAGCTAATAGGATAAGCAAGCAGGGTTAGCTATTTCCTGCAGTGCCGAATGTATAAGGGAGGGTGAATAGTGTTACGCCAGTTCTTTAAAACGCTCAACTTAAATAAGCGTTATATTTATGTGTGCAGAAGGTTTACTTCGTGAAGAAGATAAAGAACTTAATTATAATTTTATAAGTGTAAAGGAAATATAATAATTTGCGTAGAATAAATGATTAACAAACAAAATTATAGTACTGCCTCTGTCAGCGCATCTGTACTAAATAGTTTATTTATTAAAGACTTTAAAACTACTAAAACTAATATAAGACAAAACTGAAACGATCTATCGATACTTGATCCTAAGTTACTCCTATTTATATAAAAACTATCCTATATAACGTTAAAATAATTTA